GAAGGGAAAAGCTGCCCTCTGCTCAGCTGCCGCAAAGGAAAGCCCCGGGGTCTGAGCCCCCCCCCCCCCCCGGGTTGCTGGGAAGAGGCTGCGTGCACCAGTCAGCGCTGCTCCAGCTGCTCTGCCCCACTAGCATCCTTGTGCCTGGCAACCCCTGGGCGCCACCCAAGACGTTGAGGAAGCTGAACCCAGATCCTTAGCTTGACTCAGATGCCCTGGGTGGGGAGGGGGAACTCCGGGGCTCCATGCGTCTTCCTGGCAGGGCTGCTGTTGGCCAATCGCTGGGGGCAAGGACCAGAGCCACAACCCATGCCAGCCACACAGATTGCAAACCATCCAGTCTTTTGCAAACCCGAGAGCTCTTTCCCAAAGCCAGTTCCATCCTGCAGAATGGTGAGTTGCACAAGGTGCAGGCAGCCACAGAGTTGTGACAGATGTCGGCTGTTCTCGAGCCAGCCATCTCCAGCCGCTCCCTCCAGTGCAGGACTACAATCTCCATCACCCAGCCAGCAACCTCCCTGCTTCTGGGTCAGCCTCCCTGGGGCTTGGCCACCTGTTAGGCAAATGGGCATCTTAGCAACAAAGGCTAGACGCACACATCAGGCTAAACCATGGTTTACTCCAGATACCACAACTGATTTACTGTAATAATCTAAGCACCAACCATAGTTTACAGCCCACCGTGGCTGTGTTCATGTGAGACACCAAGCCCAAACCAGATGTACCGCGGTCTGGCCGGACATTGTGCGAATGCAAAGTGTGTCTTTGGCTGGGACATTTCCAAACAGGCTCCCTGCTGAACTCCCCGGGGTGAGGAATGAGGCAAGCCTTGACCTGGATTCCCTCGGAAACAGCTGAAGCGATTTGGAACCGGGAGGCGGCCAGCTTTGTCCCCAGGCTCTTCCTTGGTTGTTCTGCTTCAGACCAGGGCCCCTTCACTGCCTGGGCAAAACAAAGCTGGCTGGCCTCTCCTCTGTGGGGAGCCTGCTTTCTTCGGGACCCCTCCCAAGCCGCCCTGAGAGGAAATGCCTCCCCCTCGCTGTGGGGCATGGAAGCAGGACCCCCAGCTTTGGGCTGTCCACTTCAAGGAATCCTTAGAGAACAGACGTCCTGGAGCCTCTGTTACCCTTCCAAGTGAACGGTCACGAGTGCCCCTGCTCAGCAGGCAGCGGGACACAGAGGTCTCACTGCAGCTGGCCAAGCCAGCCGCTTCCCCAATCTGGGGCTGCTGGCTGTGCTGGACTCCAACACCCATAATCTCTAGGCAGCGTGCTGGTGGATGTACAGGTGCCACAGACGCATGGCTCATGCGAGGGGTAACTCAAAGACATGCAGGGGAAGGACAGAGAGCGGAGCAAGCAGCCAGGCCTCGACCCAAAGCTGGCCCTGCGCAGAATCCCCCCTCCACCTCCCACTCCACTCCTCCTCTGTTTCCTGGTCCACCCATCCTCTTCTTGGCATTTCAGCCATTCTAAAACGCATCACCTTCCCTTGGCCAGGATCACCCCCCATTTCTGCCTCAACCAACCCAAAAGATGCCAGGTGTCTCATCTCTGCTCCCCAGTGCTGCTGTCCAGGTTACTCCGCAACCCCACCCAGCTTCTTGCACAGCACGCTCAGCCCTTGGCGCTCCTGCGGCTCCTCACGTTTTCCACGTTCTGTTCTAAAACTGGGAGGATGTTCTAACCCAACACAGTCATCTTAAAATCCAAGTTTACTTTCTATAATTGAGACATCACTGGTGCGAGCTCAGGGCTGACTCAGTACTCTGGGCAAGGTGGGCGAGTCTTGAAGTAGCTGAAATTCAACTGGTAAAGCTCTCAGCAAACCTCCATGCTTAGAAAGGCTTGACCTATTGACCGTCCAAGAGTTAAGCAACTGCTTCACATGGTAAGGAAGAAACAGCAAGCTCTGTGCAACAGCTTTGTGGCTTTGATGAGCAAACAGCTGCCGGAGCAGAAGTTATCACAATGCTGCAGTTTCCCAGAGCGGAGTTTGCAACGCTCCAATTAAAACACGCACTCAGAAAACACTCAGGAAAGAGCGTCTCCACCCCCTCTAAGGCAGGGCCCTTGCATCACCGCAGCCAAGGGGCAGATGGGGGGGCTGGGGCGTATCTCTTCTCCCCTTATATCCAGCGGTTTCCAAGCCGAGGGAGACGCGTGATGCATCAGGGCTTGGAGAGAGTCTAGAGGCTCTGCCAAGCCACCTTTGGACTGAGCTCAAGGTAGGCACCTCCTTTGGCTCCCTGGCTTTACTCCTGGGGGAGGGAATGGACATTTCTTGCTCCCTCTTCATAACAAAATCTGGGGCCCCTTAAGGAAATTAACCACTGGTAGACTTGGCACAGATGTGCAATTGTTTTGGAACTCACAGCTGCAAGGCTTGGTGGCAGTTTGGCCATAGCCACTAGCTTGGATAGCTCTAATGAAGAATAAAGGCGTTCACGGACGCAAAGGGGGAAACTCAAGCTCTTACAACCCTAATTCCTTGCTCGGACACGGGCTGCCACTGAAGACCAGCCGCCTGGGCTGCGCTCAGTATCAGCAGGATCTCTGCTGCGGTTGGGGGGTGGCTTGGAGTCAAGCTGCGGTCCAGCATCTCGAGTCCAAAGGGAGGGAAGGGACCTTGGAGCAAGGCACGGCGGTGCCAGCTGGAAGGGCTGAGCCAGCCGCCTTCCCCAGGTGTAAGGGATCGGGGAAGAATGGAGCAAGGCTGGCCCAAAGGGAGCAGGGAAATGAAGACACAGGCAGCACAGCGTGGCGGTCAGCTTGAGCAAGGATCCTTTATGATGTTACTTAACTGATTTGTGCGGTGTTTATTGTAATAAATACACTTAGAAGTCAGATGACAACATCAGGCCCCAATTCACTGAAATCTGTGCTGGGCTTCTTCTTCTCTGCTGAATCCATAAAGAGGTAGCGAGGCCAGAGATGCCAGCTGGCAGAACAGGCACGGGTGGGAAGGTGAGCCGCGCTCCAGGGCCACAAAGCCAAGCGCAGGGGACTCTTTCAGTGGGAAGGAAACAGGACAAGCCTGACTCCCAGGCTCCACGCTCCTGGGATATTCAGGAAGATCCCCAGCTGACTTCGCAAGAGCCCCAGGCAGCCCAGCTCCGCTCCCATCCCTAGACTGCCCAAAGGAAGGCGTTGGGGAGGTTTATTTTTTCAAACGATTTGTTGCTGTTGCTTCTTGGGAACATGTTTTGAGTATTAAAATGGACAGAGCAATGGAAAGCCATGTTTGCTGTCAAGGCAGCACCACTCCGGGTTAGGAAAAGCAGCAGCAGCTGCTGACCACTAAGTCAAATCACACGGCTAACTGCTTTCGTGCCCTCGCCCACACCCCTCTTCTCATTCCTCTCCTCCTCTAGGAGCAGCAGCATGAAACTAGCGGCCGTCCTCCTCCGCTTGGCCTTGCTGCTCCACGCAGCTGAGGCCCTGCGAATCTGTGCCTTTAACATCCAGAGTTTCGGAGATACCAAACTGTCAGACCAGAGCATTTCCAAAATTATTGTGAAGGTGAGGGCAGGTAATGGACTCAGGACTCCCGCGTTAGGGATTGGATGGCAGGCCACCCCAAGAGCAGAGGAGGAGGGAGGCGGCTGGTCAATAGCCACCAGGCGTGAAAGTAAAGCAGAACCTCTCTGGTCAGAGGCAGTGGTGCTAAAAGGCAATTGCTGGAAGAAGGGCCCTGCCAGAGGACTGCTCACTGGGGCCACTGGCTCACAGCTGGGCCAGGTGGCCCTCTGGCCCCAGCAGGGCTCCTCTGCTATTCACACCCGTGCACTCGCCTGTTTCAGATCCTGTCCCAGTATGACATCATCCTAGTACAAGAGGTGCGGGACGCTGATCTCAGTGCAGTCCAGGAACTCATGGAGCGACTCAACAGGTAATGAAGTGGGTTGGGGGACAGGCAAGATGAGGAATGACGCTTGAGGGATGGGCTTTTCCCCTCACCAAATGCACTTTAAGGGGCAAAGTGGAGTCCATCTGGTTTACGCCTGCAGGACTGAACAAGTCCTTATGCGTGCCTGGCTTGGAAAAACACCCCAAGAGCTGAAAGGGCCAGTCCCTAATGGGGGAGAGCCAGGACAGGGAGGTCTGTTTGGTTGCCCTATACAGACCACCACCACTTGGGGGGAGTATGCCCCCAATTCTCACCTTGCAGGGCCTCCAAGTACTCTTACGACTACGTGGCCAGCGAGTCCCTGGGCCGGGAGAACTACAAGGAAATGTATCTCTTCCTCTACAGGTACGGGACGGGTTCCGTGGGCCTTGGCTGCACCCTGGGTGCTCTTGCTTGCAGGCAGGTTGTGCTGGTCTCCTCCTTGTAAGCCCAAATGGGTTAAAGGCAATGGCCTGCTCGCGGCTGGCACTCAGACTGAAAGCCCCAGAGCTCAGCAGCAGAGTACCTCCTTGGCTTGCAGGAGGCCCCGGGCCCTGTCTCCCTGTGGCCTCCTCTCCCGAATCCTGGCCAGCCAGAGAGTTGGCAGAGCTAAACGCTCCTTCAGATGAAAGTAGCTCCCTATGTTTCTCCTGTGCTTTTCTGCTCGTAATCTCATGCATAGTTGCACCGGCATGTGCACACACGCACACACACACACAGAGGATTTGAAGTAGCACTTCTCAGAAAGCAAGCTGGGGGGATGAAGATCTCTTAATCCGGGGTTCAGATGAAGCTGAACAGGAATGACAAAGCTTCCAAGGAGGTTTCCTCCCCTCCCAGCTTCTCTTGGGACACAACCGGGAAGTGCTCCTCTCCTTCCTTCCTCCGCTGACCCATTGCCTCGGCTTCCTTCCCAGGACAAAGAGCTTCTCTCTCATGGACAAGTACCAGTATCCCGACCCCGACAGCACCTTCAGCAGGCCTCCATTCGTCGTGAAGTTCGCTGCTTCTGGTTCAAGTGAGCAAAGCCACAGGCTGGGCCCAACGCCACACCAGACTGAGCGCGGGCCTTTACCACAATCCAAGCCACTGAGCAAATGGGATCAGGAAAGGGCAGGTCAGGAAGGAGACCCAGGGTCCGAGCCAGGTGGCCAGGGAAGTACACCACCACAAGACAGCACTCCCCCAGAGCAGACATTCCTGGTCCTTCCCTAAAGGCTTCAGGGCAGGGGTTCTGCCCAGCAGGGATCAGTCAGGAAACCAACGCCATTCGGGGCACTAACTCAGTTCTTTTGCAGAGGAGAGCGAGCTGGTGCTGGTGCCCCTTCATACTTCTCCAAGTCAGGCCGTGGCAGAGATCGATGCTCTCTACGATGTCTATCTGAAGATCATTGACAAGTGGGAGACTGATGTAAGCAGCTGGTCCCACAGGGGTGGGAAGACACCCTGCAGTTGTGCTGTGGGTACTGCACGTAGAGATCAGCACTTGGCATTTACTACAGCAGCAGGATGAAGCGGGCCCCGGTGCAGATGAGGGTTGAGAGAGGCACTGTTGGGGGGGGGAGAGATGGACGGAAGGACAGGAAGAGAAGTGCCCACCACTGAAAGCCCCCACCATTATTTTTGTATTCCAGTTTTTAATAAGTACCCGTATTTTCCTTTTCAAAAAAGCCAACCCATTATTCAGGACACTTTTTGGCCCATACAGACGCTTCTGATCGATCCAATCAACCACCTTCTCCAAACTGGTCTCCTCCAGATGTGCAGGGAGTGGCAGTCAGCACCTCTGGAGGACACCAGGATGAAGGAGGCTGGGTGTCAGGTCTGCAGCCTTAAAAAGTCTTCACCGTCCCAGCTGGAAGGCTCAGAGAGGTTGGAAGGGGAGTTAATCAGGACCAGCTAGCTGGCCATCCGCACAGACAAGGAGAACCCCAACATGGGCAGATCCAGGGGACATGCAAGAGGTCCACTTCCAAACCTCTTCCCATGACATGTCGCTCAGCAGAACATAATGTTCCTGGGAGACTTTAACGCTGACTGCAACTACGTGGGGAAGACAGACTGGAACTCCATCCGCCTACGCACCAGCGAGGTTTTTAACTGGCTCATCCCAGATGACACAGACACCACCGTGGGCAACTCCGACTGTGCCTATGACAGGTGAGTGGGGGCAGCCGCCCTTCACAAAATGCTGAAGGCAGTGGCTCTCCAGGCCCCAGGATGTCCTGGCCACTAAGCCACCGTTGTCCATGGAGGCTTTTCCTCCTCCCCTCTGATGCCCCTGGAAAGCCCTGCAGCTCCCCAGAGACCCCAAGAAAGCTCTCCTCCACCTGCGCCGTATTTGTGCTTTCAGGATTGTCGTGAGTGGCTCAAGACTGAGGAAGTGGATCGAGCCCAAGTCCGCTAAAGTATTTGACTTCCAGAGAGCTTTCAAGCTGAGCCAGGAGGAGGTAAATCTGTCACCACAGACACACTGACGTCCTTAATCCAACTTGCCCAGCACTCTAGCTTAAGCCACAAAAAGATACCAATCTACAGCTAAGGTCTACTAATTAAAAATACCCCCTACCCGCCCTGTACCTCTGTATCTCAGATCCCAGGCAGAGGAGAACCAAATCGTCCCTATAAAATGATGCCAGTGATTTGAAGTGTATATTCCCACTTATCCTGCTGTCCATCTCCTGGGGGAGGAGGGGTCAGGAAGGCTTGTGGAACCCTCAAATTGGGGGACGCAGAGTCAGCCTTTGGTGTGTTTCCTCCCAGGAGAGAAAAGCCTGTGGTTACCAAAGCCCTGAATCACGCAGGCAGCCACTACAGCGATCTTAGCTCTGCTTTTCTTTCAGCAAGCTCCATGCCCCTTTGTGTGCTGGTCACGACCACCTCACAGTAGCCCTCGAGGGATGCAGCTTACCTGCAGGCAGGCGACCCCCTCCAGGGGCATCTGCACTGGGACAGGGACCCTGCTCAATGCCAGACGCATCAGGGTCTCCAAGCAGCTGGGCAGCCAAGCCCCTCGTGCTGAGCCCAGGGTACCTTTGCCTGCTGCTCCCAGAGCCCCAGCCAGCCTGCCTTCTGTTGCCCAAGGGCTGCACTGACCTCTCCTGCCTTCTCCTTTACTGCAGGCTCTGGCCATCAGTGATCACTTCCCAGTAGAAGTGGGGCTGAAGTCCCCCTGAAGCTCCTGCTGCCAGACTGCTCAGCCCAGCGAGGGTGGATCAAGAGGGGACCTGCCACCCTCCCCCACTCTGCAGGCCCCAGGACCATGCACCCTGCCTTGCAAGTTGCATATGGATTCCCAGCCACTGGGATTCCAGCCAGGAACTGGGCTTCTGCAGGAACAGTGTCTTCAAAGGTTCTGGGCTGGAAATGCTGCCCGGAATGAACTTGGACTGCCTGCGGGTTACGCAACTGCCCCATCCGGAGCACGAGCCGCTGCATCCCACAAGAACTGATCTTTCCACCCATGTTTCTGCTGTGTCTCCCCAGGCCCTCACCACCCTCCTCTTTCCAGCCCCCTGCTGAGCCAGAGGCAAGCGGAGGGCACTGGAAAAGCCAGGATGCCCACTTCCCCAGGCCAGGTCTCCCACCAGCCAACTGGCCAGGCCTCGTCCTTCTACACATTTGGAGGGCTCCGGGTGGGGAAGGCTGCAGTGTGGTCCTATAGCAGGTTGGAGGCATACAGCACAAATCCTTACTCGGCGACAAAGTCTTTTGAGAACTCTGACACCATAGCTGTCTCGGCCTAATCTACCTCATGTGACGGTGGGTGGTGCAAGTAGGCAGACAGCTTTTGGACAAACAGTATGATTAAAAAAATAGTAACTCAGCAAAATAGTCAAGTTCCATGTCTTAATGGGCAGAGCCATCCACTCAGAAAACAGCAGAACTCAAAGGAATTCCTGCTCAGGGTGGGGACTACAGAACTAACAAGCATCCGTTTAAAAAACCATCCAAGCTGTTCTGAGAAGGCAAACTTCCTCTGCTCCCAGGTCCCGTAATTGAGGAGTCAATCCCTGTCCAAATAAAGCTGCTTGAACAGCCCTCGAGAACATGCAATATCATCTCCAAAGGAGAGGCTGCTTTAGATGCCCCCGCAAAGAATCAATCTCTAAGTCTGCAATCCCCACAGATTGGGAAAAAAGAGACCAAAGAGAAAATCACACAAGGCACAAAAAAGGTGGGGCAGTTTCTGGCCGTGACCACCCGCACCATTCTACACAGAACACAGCCAGATGCCCCAATGGTTGCCCTGCTCCCGCCTGTCCTCCTTGGGCAGCCTTCCTGACCTGGCCCAGCCACCCCAGGAGCAGCCCACGGCAGCTCCAAGCCCTGTGAGCCAGTTACGCTGCCGCAGCAGGGTGACGGGCACCAGCCTGCAAAAGGCCAAGCCAGAAAAAGCACTTCCAGGTAGAGCATGCATGCTTGCAGGGCCAGAAACGGCGGTCAGGCACAGGCAGGTGCCACAAGAAAGGCGGGATGGCCTGGGCAGCCGTGGTAGGGGAGGGGCCAGCTGGCTGGGCTTGCCTGGCCTGGCCTGGCCTGTTTAAAGAGAAACGGGTCCAGAGGCATCCCCACCAGCAATGAAGCTAAGCAGCCGCTGCTGTAAGGGTTTATTGACAACTTGCATTCTGCGTGTTTCTGAGGAAGACAAAAAGCTAGACAGAGCCGGGTGGCCCAGCCTGCCTCCCCAGAACCATTCCCAACCTGTCCAGCCACCCCTGAGCTCCGCAGGCCAAGCTACAACAACCAACCATGCAAGAGCCATTAAAATCAGACACCAGGGCGCTCGGTCTGCCGTGGCCCGAGGAAAGAAAGCAGCCCGTGGGCGCAGCAGTGAGGCTGCCAGGCGGAGCCCTCGAACTCCGGGAAGCACAAAGGCCCCGTCAGGCCTTCTTCTGTTTCAACCCCTCCATGTACCTCTGGAGAGACTGCTGGATGGCGTCCCTGGAAACAAAGCACACAAAGTTCTGGACGTCGGCCTCACGGTGCATCAGCAGGTGGTCAACAGCGTGCTTCCGCAGGGAGGACTTGGAGAGCTGCCGGGCGTGATCTAGGCACAGGGCGGGAAGAGGAATGGATGGGAGGACTCCCTGAGGCAACTGGGCTTCCCCAAAGTTCAAGCAAGGTGTGGGTGGGCCTAGAGCCTCGACCCGAGCAGGGGCCTGGGCTGGGTGCCCACCTGGAACGGCCAGCCACTCAGCCATCACTTCTGCAGCTCTGGCCTGGATCTTGTCTTCGGGCACCAACTCATCCACAAGGCCGATTCTGAGGGCTTCCTGAGCAGAATAGAGGATCCCCAGCTGGAGGGAGCGCTCGGCAGCCCTGTGGCCGACAGTGTTCACCAAACAGTCCTTGAACCTGGACGCAGGAGAGATGTTCAGACAGAAAGTGCCCACCAACTAGCCAGCCGAGCCAAGCCGAGCCGAGCCGAGCCGAGCCAAAGCTGGCTTGGCCTAAAAAGGGGGCCGACAAGAGCCCCCGAAAGGCCCTACCATTTGCACAGCCTCCTCCACACCTCACCAAAAAGGGGCGACTATGCCCAATCTTGTCTCATTCAGACCAATGATGTACTTCCGACTATCAGCCATGATCCGGTAGTCACACGACAAGGCCAGAAGGCAGCCTCCGGCGGGGCTGGAACCCTGCGAGGAACAAAGCTGTGTCTGTGTGCCAGTGGCGGCAGCGGGTCCCTGCCTCGCAGCCCCCCGCTCCAGCGGTTGCTCAGCGCTCCTATTTCCAATCTCCAGGGGCCTGAGTGTGCTAGCAGAAGGCTTGAGGTGAAAAGGAGCGGTCAGCAGCTGCAGGACACGGTGGGCAGACCCAAGCCGGTCTACCAGCAAGGATAAACGGATTCCCGAAGGAGCCGTCAGGCCGTGGGAGTGGAATCGCAGCCGCTGGGGCCGCGCAGCCTTCAGCTCCGAGAACAAAGACGTGTTTGTTTCAAACACGTTTTTTTTTTGTTTGTTTTGTTTTGTTTGTTTGTTTGAAACTCTCAGCGCGAAGGCGGCCAGCGGGCCGCCCGGTCCCGCCAGGGGCAGGGCAGCTCCCCGGATCAAGCAGGAAGCGGCGCTGGGCAGGCCGCATCTGCCCCCTTTCCGATCCGCTCCTTCGCGGGCGGGGGGAGCCGGGCGGGCTCCCTCGGCCTCAGTTCTGAGGGGACTGCCGGGCCCTCCCGCAAGCGGGCACCCCGGTCCGGCCGGGAGGGAGGGAGGGAAGAGCGGGGGAAGCCCGCCGGCCAGGCGGATGCTTACGTTGATGGCAGCCACCGTGGCGAGGCGGCTGCCGTAGAGCAGGATCCACAACTCCTGCACCGCCCTCCAGAACTCGGCCAGGCGCTCCTCGCTGCGTCCGCACATCTCCGTGATGTCCAGCCCGGCCGAGAAGACCCCGGGGACGGCCTGCGGAGGAAGGCGCGCGGGTCTCTCTCGGGCGGTAGGG